ATCCTGTGATTCTGGATTTAGTAATGAATTTCAGAGACTACCTGCTACCTACCTTTCTTTTAGGAAATAGATGCCTCCCGTTGACCCCTGCCTTTCCTTTCTCTCCCTACAATACAGATTTGGTTCTACACCAATAGCATCTTTGAAACGGCTGGGATCCCTCCAGAAAAGATTCCATACATCACCCTGAGCACAGGCGGCATTGAGACGTTGGCAGCCATCTTCTCTGTAAGTGACCTGAGGGGTATTCCCGGATACCCCTCCCTCACAGGATAACAAGCAGAACTTCCAGGACCTGGGTGAAGAACAGGCATGTCTTGGAAGGCCCATTACAGTCCAAACCACCTAAGTCTTTGGAGCTCAGCACGCAGTGTATCGCTGATCACTTTCCCGTCTAGAGGTGAATCATCTCTGTTCTTCTTCCCGATGAGCATGGGACACATTGGCCGCAGCAACGGGCTCACACAACACCAGTCTTAGGCATGATGCAGCACAAGGCACTGCTTCATTCTACTGCAGGTTGAATGAGGAGGAGCCAACCCTGTGGAAACGAACAGCAAGGGCAGCAATTGCCATTTAGTGGAACCCCAGTAGCCCAGTAGTTCAGAACTCAGCTTTTAACCAGCAAGTTGGCCTTTGAAGCCCACCAGACACTCTGCAGGACAGAGGTGGCGCTCTCTAGAACCTGGCGGGCCACAGTCTCTAGTGAGACCAAACTGGGCTTCAATCCTGGCTCTGCTCTGTCTTCACTGTTTGCTTTGGGGAAAGCATACCATCTCCCTGAGCTCCAGGTTCCCCCTTATTTTTCTCTGTTAAATTCTTTTTCATTTTAACAGTTGTTTTGACAGATAACTCATATCACACGTGAAATAGCTTAAACATTTAAAGAGTTGTGCAATCATCACTACAATCCATTTTAGAACATCTTCTTTCTTGACCTCATTATTAATAGCTCCCAACCTCCCCTGCCATAACTAAAAAAAATTAATCCAAGCCCAACGTGTAATAGAACAAAATATTGCTGGATTCCATACCATCTTTATGATCGTGTTGCCTGGTTCGGGGTCTCGTCTATCTTATTTTGTTGTTCAGTCATTTACTGAAAATCTATGTTCTCGGTGAGTACAAGGAAATTAGGGCCCTATAGGGCATGGTTATTGTGACCAAGCTGGGGAGATAACTAGCTAAATAAACCACGTCATATTTTGAGTCTGTAGGAGATGGGGCTTGGCCTGAGGCATGACATTTTCAGTCATTTCGTACACATGTGGAAACTGGATGGTGAGTAAGCAAGACCAGAGAAGGGCTGACACATCTGAATTATGAACGTGCCATGGACTGCCAGAATGAATAAATCCATCATGAAAAAAAATACATACAGCCTGATGCTCCTGAGAAGTGAGGATGGTAAGAGTTCATCTCACATACTTTGGACATGTTATCAAGAGGGACTGGTCCCTGGGGAAGGATGCCATGATCAATAAAGTAGAGGGTCATTGAAAAAGAAGAAGCCCTTCAATAAGGTAAATTGACTCTGTGGCTCAAATGCAACAGAGATAGTAAGAACGGCCCAGAACTGGACAGTGTTAGGTTCTGTTGTACAGAGGATCACTGGGATGGTTAGAGTTTATGTCAACTAGACAACCTATCAACCAGGTCACAGTCTGATGACTCCTCCTTGGGAGTGTGAGTTTTCATCCGAGAGAGAGAGAGAGCCTAAGCAGAGCCAAGGTCTCGCAGGCCCTTCACCTTTTGCTGGAGCTGGACCCTGTTCTCTGGTTTGTGGGTCTCCTGTTGGGTCACTGCCGACCCCAGGAGCCTTCAGTGGACTGCCAGCCTTGGATTCCTTCTGCCAACTTTGGATCCATTTACCTCTGCCTCCGCCAGCCTATGGCTCTCCTCGTTCATCTCCCTGTTGGTCCCCTTCTGCAGCTGCATGCATCAGAGGAGGCTGCAGCTGCATCTGGCCAGGGGACTTGAACTGATGAACCTACGTCTACAACTATGTACTCCGTTTCTTGATATAAATATCTTGAGACACACACACACACACACACACACACACACACACCACTGGTCTTGCTTCTCTAGATGACCCAAGCTGGCAAGATCACTATGAGTTGTAAGTGACTTGATGGTAGCTAACAACTATCTTGTTTAACGTCATTTGACTGGGCATGGTAGCATCTACAACTATCTTCACAGAAGTACTTCGATCAGGGTTTGGTTGAATAACTGGATTCTTTTTTTTAACAGTTTTATTGGCACTTTATCCACATATCATGCAATTCAATAGTTCCATCATAACAAGATGGGTTGTACAAGCATCACCACAATCAATTTTAGAACATTTTATTCTTCCTTGTACTTATTGTTATGCATATAATTACTTTTTAAAATTGTGGCAAAATTATACACAAGCATACTCAAAATTCACAATTTCTACATGTATAATTCAGTGCAATAACTGGGTTCTTTAGCCTATCCCTATTTCCTATACCCTAATACATGTGCTGGTGGTTTTAAGCAAGCTTTGGATTGCTATCCACGAGGTCAGTGGTTCAAACCACCAGCTAATAGTCAGGAGAAAGATGAGGTTGACAGCTCCCATAATTTTTTGCAGTCTGGGATACCCTAGGGGCAGTTCTACTTTGCCCTATAGGATAACTTTGAGTCAGAATTGACTCAATGGTAGTGGATATAGCTGTGTTCGTCTGGGTGGACTACAGAAACAAACTCATAGACACTCATATGTCTATAAGAGCTTTATATACAAGAGCAATGGAATATTGAGAAAACATCTCAGCCCAGTCCAGATCAAATCCATAAGTCCTATATTAGCCCATATGTCTGACACCAATCCATGAATTCCTCTTCAGACTCACGCACACATGCAATGACACCAAATTCAGGAAGATCACAGGCCAGTGGGTGGAAAGTCCTGTGGATCCAATGGTGGTATAAGCAAATCAGCGCTGGCAGGGGTCTCCACCTGGCTCCTCCATCTCCAGGACCCTGGGTGCCATCAGTGTGTCTCCATGTGGCTCGTTATCAGTAATATCTCAAAGGGAAGTGAGTGTGCATCCACCTCCAGCAAGCTCTTTCCTTGGCACCTTCAACTGAGGTCTTCAAGCTGCGACCCGATGGACAGGATAAACTCCACGCCTTCACTCTTAATCGTCTCAAGTTGACAACAGATGATGTAACTACCACAACAGCTTATCCAAGTTGGCACATAAAAGAAACGATCCTATGTTGAAAAGGGGGGGGGTTTGTAGATGGGACTCAGTTAAGGATCTCGAGATGGGCAGATTGTGTGAGGCCGAGAGAATCACAAGGGTGTGTATGAGTCAGAGAGGGAGACAGTGTGGTCAGAGTCAGAGAAGGGAAGGTGATGATAAGATCAGAGGAGGCAGTGATGCCGTTGTTGGAGGAAGAGGCTCCCAGCCAAGGAATGGCGGCTCCCACCCACCGCCCTCGAGTCAGTGCTGACTCAGAGCCACGCCGGTGGGTTTTCCAAGACTATCTGTTTGCAGGCGGAGAAAGTCCACAGTTTCTCCAGAGGAGCTGCTGGTGGTTTCAAACTACTGACCATGGGAATACAGGCTAGAAGCTGGAACAGACAAGGGAATGGATTCTCCCCAAAGCTTCCAGAAGGAAGCCGGCTCTGCCTACACCTGGATTCTATCCCCAGGAGAAAATTCTGACATCTGACTTGCAGAAGTCTAAGATGCTAAATTTGTTTTCTTTTAAACCACCAAGTCTGTAAAACTTTGTGACAGCAGCTACCAGAGACACATACGCCATCTGATAATGCTTGTGGTGGAAGCAAAACTCAAAGTGTTGACAGGGTCACCATTCAATAAATCTTTTGCCCTTCCCGACATTTTTATTGCCCTACTTCCAAAAGCATTTCACTAATTCATCAATCCCTTGAGGTAATTGCCTATCAAATAGGACTTCCTTTTTTTTCTTCTTCATGGGATTTTTGACAGTCTATTAAAATGCCTATGGGGCTTAATAAAATTGAACTGGGAAAGAAATCTTTATTCATTTGATGTCTGGGTAACCCTCATCAGCTTGGGCAGCTGTAAGTAATTGCATCTTGTGGAAACAGCCGGTGTTCCAAATTGATTTTGTTTGTTTGTTTGGGCGCATTAATTTTCTGTTGAGAGAGTATCCAGGGAGTGCCTTTCGGCTCAGGCTGAGCATGAAAGGCCACCTCACGTGGGGAGGGGATTGCTCTGTGGGACACGAGGCCCATTCCATTGAGAAGAGTAGGTTCTCTGTGCCGACCCAGGCGAATGGGATTCACTCTCACACATTATTCAGCATAGCAAGAGTCTGCTACTGCTGGGATGGAGGGTGCCACTGTAAGCCTGAAGGGTGCCCACTGCCACCACCAGAGAAGTAGGGAGACGTGTTGTCAGTTGTCAAGTCTGTTCTGATCATGGTGACCCCAGCTCCTTTTGGGGGGTGGGGGTGGGGCTGGAGTTCGTGAAAGCAGAGATGGGGACTGCAATGATTGAGGTAAAACAAAATGTGTACGGATCGCTGACTATAAAACTAGGCATCTACTCTGGAAGGCTTCTCTCAATTCAAGAAGAAGAAGAAGAGGAGGGTGAGGAAGAAGAAGAAGAGGATGCAGAGTCACTAGCAGTTAGAATACGGGAACATGGACCTTCCCTGGTGCTCTGCCATTTTCTTTGCGACACAGAGAGCTGAGTCGGTGAGAATCCAGAGCACCCCGTTTTTTCCTCCTTCCCCGCTAGCATGCAAGCTTTGGCAATCATCCAGTATCTCTCTGGATGGTCACTACCCTGGGTCTCGCAGGGCCTCCTCGCCGCTGGTGCATCGCTGAGTGTCAGCATAGGACAGCCATGTGGGAGACCAGAGTACGGACCACGTTGGGCCACATCTCAATCCAGTGTCTCTTCTCCCTCTGCAGAGCTCAAGCACTTCGACACTGCTACGGGTGGGAAGTCTTGTAGAGTTGTTCTAACGTGTAAATACCAGTGTCTGTGTGGCCACATACGCATACATTTTTGTCGTCTCCCCTCTTGTCCACTTCCGAGGGAGGGATTCTCGTGAGTGTGGTGAGGTGCTGGGGAGCTGGCTCTCATTCACGGAAACCCCACCTACCGCAGAAGGAAACCCTGCCCCAGCCTGCAACCCGCTCACCACGGTTGTTAGGTGTGAGCCCTTTTGTTGCAGCCCCCGGATCAATC